AAAAGAGAACATACAGACTGGGAAAAAAAAATTTGGCTACAACATATATGACAAGAGTCTAATCTCTAAAATCTATAGAAAACTTCAACAACTCAACAAAAAAAAGACAAACAATCCAGTTAAAAAATGGACAAATGATATGAACAGACACTTCACCAAAGAAGACATTCAGGTAGCTAACAGACTTAAGAGGAAATGGTTGCGATCATTAGCCACTGGAGAAATGCAAATCAAAACTATAATGAGATACCATCTCACCTCGACATTACTGGCACTAAAAAACAGAAAATAACAAATGCTGAAGAAGTTGCAGGGAGATTGGAACTCTGTTATTCACTGCTGGTGGGACTGTAAAATGGTACAAGTACTATGGAAAACCATATGATGCCTCCTGGAAAAGCTAGAAATAGAAATAGCGTATGATCAGCAATCCCACTCCTAGGAATATATCCTAAAGAAATAAGAGCCATCACACGAATAAACATATGCACACTCATGTGCACCGTAGCATTATTCACAATAGCAAAAAGATGGAAACAACCTAAGTGCCTATCAACAAAGGAATGGGTAAACAAATTGTGGTACATATACACAATGGAATACTACCAAAGGATAAAGAAAAATGATGAATTCGAGAAACATCTCACAACATGAATGAACTGGGAGGGTATTATGCTGAACGAAATAAGTCAATCACAAGAGGACAAATACTGCATGAGACCGCTATTATAAAAAACCGAGAAAAGGTTTACACGCTGAGGGAGGGGAGGGATGGGGGAGCGGAATCACTAACTAGAGAGTAGACAAGTGTTAACTTTGGTGAAGGGAAAGACAACACACGATATAGGGGAAGTCAGCAAAACTTGACCAAGGCAGTCATAAAAACTTCCTAGACACATCCAAACACCCTGAGGGACTGAGTTACTGGGACTGAGGGCTGGGGACCATGGTTTTGGGGGACATCTAAGTCAACTGGCATAACATAGTTCATAAAGAAAATGTTCTACATCTTACTTTGGTGAGTAGTGTTTGGGGTCTCAAAAGCTTGGGAGCAGCAATCTAAAATACATCTATTGGTTCTATAACTTTCAGAGCAAAGGAGAATGAAGAAAACCAAACACACAAGGAAAATATTACTCCAAAGGACCACATGAACCACAGACCCCACCAGCCTTAGCCTAGAAGAACCAGATGGTGCCTGGCTACCACCACTCACTGCTCTGACAGGGATCACAATAGAGGGTCTCGGACAGAGTGGGAAAAAATGTAGAACAAATTCAAATTCACACACACACACACACACACACACACACACACGAAGACCAGCCTTACTGGTCTGACAAAGACTGGAGGAACCCCAGAGACGATGGCCCCCATACACCAGGCTGAGAATTGAAGCCACTCTCGAAGGTTAGACAGGCCTATAAAATAAACAATAACACATGTGAGGAACATGCTTCTTAGTTTAATCAAGTATATGAGACAAACACAAAGCAAAAAAAAACCGAGAAGGCAGGAAGGGACAGGAATACTGGAGGAATGGACATGGGAAACCTGGGTGGAAAGGGAAAGGGGGAGAGTGCTGACACGATGTGGGGATTGCAACCAATGTCACCAAACTGTATAGATTTTTGAATGAGAAACTTTCACCTAAAGCACAATAAATTTTTAAAAATAAATTAATGCTAGAATTTTGACTTAGATCTTCCAACCACATTTTCTCTTATACTCTTTTGAGAAAATGAAATTTAAAAATCAGTTAAACTGAAATGTCAAGCCAATACCAGTCAAAACAAATACTAAATATTAACATACTATACAATATTAACATATTTGTGTTTGTTTCTTCAGCTAATATCAAGTTGTATCCATTGTTAGCATATTCACTAGCAAGTAAGTCTGTTTTTCCAATGTGGAATTTGTTTAAATTCTTGAAAACAAACTTCTAAAATCCATTAAATCGTTAATAAAAAAGAAACAGTATGGAACTGGAAAACATCTCTGCTCTTGGATTTCCAAGGAGGAGAGAAAGTAAAATGTACTGCTGTCATTTGGATATGGGTATTTAACTGCCAGTAGCCAGAGAAGGAGAGTGAAACCTTTAGAAGATATAGTCCACACACAAAAGGAAATGCTGTTTCCTCCCAGAGAGAGGGTGGAAAACAGCCAATATGGGCAAAAGATTGGCTCGGAATCTGCCGTGAACAAATACGCAAACACCAACATCTCTGAGTAACCCCGGCCTGCATTAGGTTCCCAGGAGACTGAAAAGCAGAAAGGGCCCAGGCCCCTCAGCTGTCAGATCTGCACACCCACTGTGTCAGGCTGGGAGCCCAGAGCCTCTGGACTCACCCTTCTTCACAGCTGCGGTGAGGGTGCATGTGCTGCTCAGCCCCTGCTGGTCTTGCACTGTTAAACGGAAGTGGTAGGTATCCACATGAAGACCAGTTACAGAGGTTATAGCTTTGTCCATTATCTTCCATCTGCACTGCACTGGGGCCTCTATAAAACATGAAAGGGAGTAACAAAAGGGGGCAGCCATGGGATCTGGTTATGGCAAGCATGTTATTTGTGTTCTTATAGACACTTAACTTTTCCAGCTATAACATATACCACCTAGAGAATTCTAAGATAACTAACTTTTGCTTCGTTTGTGTCCATTTTAAGAGTCATAAGACTATTCTCAGACAGAGCCTGCTGGGTTCCTGGGAAGAGGTTTTTTTGTTTCTGTTTTTAAATTAAGCTTCCAATGAAATTATCTATTCTTGGAGAATGGAGACCTAGAAATTACTCCCATTTCTTCTTCAAATAAAATTAGGATAAATCCTGCACTGTCCAGTATGGTAGCCAACAATCACATGGGGCTATTGAGCACTTGAAATGTGGCTAGTCCATGCTGAGCTGTGCTGTAAGACTTAGTATGAAAAAAGAATGTAAAATATATCATTCATAATTTTTATATTGATTGCATGCTGAAATTCTAATATTTTTGATATAAATATGTACTGGGTACACATGGGTCACCATGAGTCAGAACTGACTCGACAGCAATGGGCTTGGTTTTTTGGGGGTCTTGGGTTGCATAAAATATATTACCAAAAAAAAATTTTTTTAATTAAGATAAATCATCATCTAATGAGCCTGATAATCAGTCTCCTAAGAGAGGAATTACAGTGTAGTCATTAAGACGTGGACTCTGTAGTCAGATAGGCCTAGGTTTGAGACCCAGCTCTCTTTCACTTACGATCCAGGAAACCTTAGACCATGTAATCTCACTGACCTCTTCAAGCCTTAGTTTCTTCAGCTTTAAAATGGGAATAATATTATTACCCACCTCTTAAGAACTGCTACAGGAGTCTACGAGATTAGCATGTAAAGCATGCTTACTGAGAAATCTCTCAGTGAATGTTAGATAATATAGGTGCTCCCTTAACTCTGCACTTGTGTTGTCTACCAGTCACTACAGGATGGTCTGAGTGTGTCCAGAGGGCCTCACAAGGACCACACACAGGTTTGCCTGTACCTCTTCTATCAGGAAGCTCACCTCACACCAAGACTTTTTTGTCACCTGCCCTCGGCTCCACCTCCCTCCACTGTCAATGAGTGTCCCCTTGTCCATTCACACTTGATAGGTTCTTCAATCAATAATTCCCCACCACTTCTCGAAATGTGCTTAAATCCTGTCTTCTCCATAAACTCAAATTGACTCTTCACTTTAGACTCTTCAAAGAAGAGTTTAGAGTAGTATAATACCAAGGGTGTGAACCTCGTGGGTAAGTGGTGAGATGGGTACCTAATAGTATCCCAGTGGTAGGAAACAATGTTGTGGTCATCTGTGCTCCTGCTTCCATCCAGGGTTGTGCTTTCCAATGGAAAGATAAGCTCCTTATCGGGGCCAGCCACAGCCACCGGGGGCCTGTTGTTTTCTAGAATTATAGAAAACACTATGAAAATTTATCTCTTTGCATTAAGTGTCCAATCCCCTGATTCCTTCTTTAAATAATTTTATTGTGATTTAGGTGAAAGCTTACAGCACAAGTTAGTTTCTCATTCAAAAATTTTTATACAAATTGTTTTGTAACATTGGTTGCAATCCCCACAATGTGACAGCACTCTCCCCCTTTCTACCTCAGTTTCCTCGAGTCCATTCGTCCAGTTTTCCTATCCCTTCCTGTCTTCTTATCTTGCTTTTTGGTTTCGTATATTTGATTGAATTAAGAAGCATGTTCCTCACTTGTGTTATTGTTTATTTTATAGGCCTGTCTAATCTTTGGCTGAAAAGCAGGCTTCGGGAGTGGCTTCAGTTCTGAGTTAGCAGAGTGTCCGCAGGCCATAGTCTCCAGGGTTCCTCCAGTCTCTGTCAGACCAGTAAGTGTTTTTTTGTGACTCTGACTTTTGTTCTACATTTTTCTTCTGCTCTGTCTAGGACTCTTTATTGTGGTCTGTGTCAGAGCAGTAGGTGGTGGTAGCTAGGCACCATCTAGTTCTTCTGGGCTTAGCCTGGTAGAGGCTGTGGTTCATGTGGTCCATTAGTCCTTTGGGCTAATATTTCCTAGTGTCTTTGGTTTCCTTCATTCTCCTTTGCCCTGGATGGGATGGGACCAATAGATGTATTTTAGATGGCCATGTGCAAGCTTTTAAGACCCCAGACACTACTCACCAAAGTAGGATGTAGAACATTTTCTTTATGAACTATGTTATGCCAATTGACTTAGATGTTCCAGGATACTATGGTCTCCAGCCCTCAGTCCCAGTAACTCGGTCCCTCAGGGTGTTTGGATGTGTCTAGGAAGCTTCTATGACTTTGCCTTTGCGAAGTTGTGCTGACTTCCCCTATATTGTGTGTTCTTGCCCTTCACTGAAGCTGATACTTGTCTACTATCTACTTAGTGATTTCCCCTCTCCACTTCACCCCACCCTTGTAACCATCAAAGATGGTCTTTCTCTGTGTGTAAACATTTTCTTGAATTTTTATAATAATGGTATCATACAATATTTGCCCTTTTGTGATTAATTTATTTCACTCAACATAATGCTTCCCAATTCACCCATATTGTGAGATGTTTCGCAGATTCATCATTGTTCTTTATCCTTGCATAGTATTCCGTTGTATGTATGTACCATAATTTGTTTATCCATTCATCTGTTGATGGGCACTTAGGTTGTTTCCATCTTCTTGCTATTACGAATGGTGCTGCAATGAACATGGGTGTTCATATGTCTATTCGTGTGATGGCTTATTTCTCTAGGATATATTCCTAGGAGTGGGATTACTGGACCATATGGGATTTCTATTTCTAGCTTTTTGAGGAGGCACCATATCGTTTTCCATAGTGCGTGTACCATTTTACACTCCGACCAGCAGTGTATAAGAGTTCCAATCTTCCTGCAACCTCTCCAACATTTATTGTTTCCTGTTTTTTTGATTAGTGCCAGTATTGTCAGGTGAGATGGTATCTCATTGTAGTTTGGATTTGCATTTCTCCAGTGGCTAATGACCCTGAGCATTTCTTCATCTGTCTGCTAGCACCCTGAATGTCTTCTTTGGTGAAGTGTCTATTCATATTCTTTGCCCATGTTTTGATTGGATTATTTGTTTTTTTGTTGTTGAGGTGTTGAAATATTTTGCAGATTTTAGAGATTAGACTCTTGTCGGATATGTCATAGCCAAAAAATTTTTCCCAGTCTGTAGGTTCTCTTTTTACTCTTTTTGTGAAGTCTTTTGATGTGCATAAGCGTTTAATTTTTAGGAGCTCCCAGTTACCTAGTTTATCTTCTGGTGTTTGTGCATTGTTAGTTATGGTTTATATTCTATTTATGCCATGTATTAGGGCCCCTAGTGTTGTCTCTATTTTTTCTTCCATAATCTTTATCATTTTAGGTTTTATATTTAGGTCTTTGATTCATTTTGAGTTAGTTTTTAAGTACAGTGTGAAGTATGAATCCTGTTACTTTTTTTTATAGATGGACATCCAGTTATGCCAGCACCATTTGTTAAGAGAATGTCTTTCCCCCCAAATGGCCCTTGTCAAATATCACTTGCCTATAGATTGATGGATTTATGTCTGGGTTCTAGATTCTGTTCCATTGGTCTCTACGTCTGTTGTACCAGTACCAGGCTGTTCTGACTACTGTAGCTGTATAGTACCAAAAAAAAAACCCACTGTCATCGAGTTGATTCCAACTCATAGTGACCCTATAGGACAGGGTAGAACTGCCCCATAGAGTTTCTGAGGAGTGTCTGGTGGATTTGCACTGCCGACCTTTCGGTTAGCAGCCATCGCACTTAACCACTACGCCACCAGGGTTTAGCTGTATAGTAGGTTCTGAGATCTAGGAGTGTGAGGCCTCCCACTTTCTTCTTTAATAATGTTTTACTTATCTGGGACCTCTTTGGATCCGGACTGCACTGTATCTACAGATCGCTTTGGGTAGAACTGACATTTTCACAAAGTTTAGTCTACCTATCCATGAGCACAGTATGATTTCCTGATTTCCTTTTCAAATCCCCTAATTTCTTGAGTTAAGCAAATTACTCATATTCAGCCCAGGCAGCTGCTAGACCTTGCAGTATCCTATGGGGATCTCGGAATGAAACACTTTAGTCTCCTAGCTGACCCAGGAATTGAACATTCTGAATTTGAGATGGGGATTACAGACAGTAAAAAATGACTTTTCTCCAAAATATACATCTTTGGTTTCTTTAAAAGAACTTCAAAAGTCATGGAGTCCAGCGAAAGAGAAAGGAAAAAAGGGAGGAGGAAGGAGGGACAAATGGTAGGGGAGGCAAAGGGGCAAACATGGGGGGGTGTGAGAGAGGAAGGGGAAAGTGGGATGTGAAAGAGGTGGGGAAGGGAAAGGGAGGAGAGGGAGGGAGGGAAGAAATAAATAAGTTAGTTAATTGACATCCGTGTGAAGAGACCTGCATTGTCAAGCAGGGCTTACTTCCTTTCTGTCTTTGCAGCCCCAGTGTCTAACACCAAAAACCAAAAAAACCCATTGCCGTTGAGTTGATTCTGACTCATGGTGACCCTGTGCGTTACAGAGTAGAACTTCTCCATAGGGTTTTCTTGGCTGTAATCTTTATGGAAGCAGATCACCAGGCCTTTCTTCTGAGGTACCCCTGGTGAGTTTGAAGTGCAAACCTTTACGTAGTAGTCAAGTGTAAACCATTTGTGCCACCCAATGACCTATCTAACACAGTGCCTCATAAATAATAAATGCTTAAAACCATTTTTGCTAAATGTTGAATAAAAGTAAAAGATATAAGGTATCACTGATACTGTATTGACATAAATAGATAAAATTTCTGTTAAAAAAAAAGTCATTAGTCAAAAACTGAGACAAAATTTACCCAAGTCTGGACCACAATCACAACCTCACTGTTCTATTCAATATAGTCCAGTAGCTTCCATTACCCTTTGGATGAAGATTTACGTGAGCGTACATTTGCAAAACCCTTCATGATCTTGCCCCTGCCTCTCTCTCCAGGTCATCTCTCATCATTCCAACTCCTGCCCCCATACTCCCACATCTTCTCCTTTTTTTCTCTCCAGCCACAATATATTTCTTCTTTATTTTTTAAAACATTCAAATATAATTACATTTGAGAAATGAAAAAAGATAGGTAGCATAACAACAAATTTCAGTTACTTGCATAGTGGTATATTCCTTTTTAGTCCTTGAACATGTCAGACTCTCTTTCAATCTGTGGCGTTTGTGCATTCAGTTCTCACTGCCTAAAAACTCTTCTTTCCGCCCTCTACTCCCCACGCTCCATCTTCTTCACCTGCTACTCATGCTTCAACCCTCAGCTCATGCAAAAGCCCTTTCCAGATGCCTCACGCCCGGGAGGTTCCCTTTCTGTAGCTCCCATACTACCCTGTCCTTCCCCTAGAATAGCACTGAATAGCACTGCTCATGTTTGTTCTTGTTGTTTTTTACAGAGATAAGTTTACTAATGGTTACCAGGGGTGGGAGAGGAGGGAAAGGGAAAGTCATTGCTGAGCTTACATTAAGGGTGTTGAAAAAATTTCGAAATGGGTAATGGTGATGGTTGAACAACATAATGAACATAACTAATGTCACTGAACAGTATATGTTAAAAAAATGTTAAAATTGTAATATTTTGTTACATACTTTATCACAGTAAAAAAAAATCTTTGCTTGAGTTAAACTTAGTTCACGGAACAATGGTGAGACTGATTCTGACTTAAGTTATTCTTATTTACCAATCAAGACTCTAGGGCTCATAACAGTGAAGTCACTTGTCCAAGGCCAAAGAGTGGTTAAGAAGTAGAATAACGAGGACTTCTGGGCAACATGGCACTCTGGGCAGAAGCACCACACTGTCCCTGCACAGCAAAGATCTGAAAAACTAAGCCAAACAGAGAAAGCAGCAATCCTGAAACCCTAAGCATCAAATGAAGAGATAAAGAACTCAGCCAAGCACCAAATGGAATAAGAAACTGGCAGAGAACAGAGAGTGAGGAGATATACCTGCAGAGGTCCCCTATCAGCTAATGCAGCACAGATCCGCCATCTTGGACTCCTATCAGAGACCACCAAATAGGGGTATGAGAAAGCAGCTTCACGGAGCTTCCAGCAGGAGACAGAACAACCAGTAAACAGCGATATATGCTTTCTCACCCCCTACCCTTCTTCACCCCCACTCAGCCTCCTCTGCTTCCCGCAGCCAGAGTCTCTTGGCTGGGAAGCACTGGCTGCTTGGATTCCACCCACTCACACTGGCCAGCTCCCTGAGTGCCATTTGTTGGCTGCTAGTGTTGCTTTTTTCCACATCTTTTGATTTCTTCCTTACCTCTCACCACCTTCCCCACGTTTCTCTCAAATACCTGGCTCTGTGTGTCATCTTTGCTTCTTCCTGAAAGGCTGTGAAACGCCAATCGAACGTGAAACTACTTCC